TAACCTCAAAAAAATGTTTGAGGACGGCTCGTGTTGGTGCGTACCTTTAATCCCAGCACTCGGGAGGCAGAGGCAGGCGGATCTCTGTGAGTTCAAAATCAGCCTGGTCTACACAGCCAGTTCCAGGACAACTATAGCTATATAATAAAACTAAAAAAAATGTACTTTTAGAAGCGTTTGCTTTGTTTTGTTTTATTGTTTGTTCGATTAGAAAGAGTCTCATTGTGCAGCCCAGTTGGGTCTCAAACTGTGGGGCTCCTGCTTCCACCCTCCTTAGCGCTGGGATTATAGACAGATGCCAAAGACTTGGCCGTCAAGTCTTTTCTTCTGTAATTGTTTGGATAATTTAGGTCTGTTACACATCCATATGAATTTTTGAGCCATCTAGATAATTACTATTATTTTTTTAAAGTGTCAGTTGGGATTTGAAATGAATCTGACGAAAGCATCAGGAAATTTAATGAAGAAAACAGTTTTTCAACAAATGTTGCTGGAAAGAGCAGAGTATTTAGGAGGAGGGAGAGCTCAGCCTTTACCATGCATAAAAATTAACTTAAACCACAGCATATAAGATACTAGATAAGATAAGAAAAGATACTAGAGGGTCATTGTGACCTATGGTTAGGGGAATTTTTCTTAAAGACAATGTGAAAAGCCGGGACTATTCAAAATATAAGGTCATAAATTATAATTCACCAAAACTAAGACTTTTGTTCAAAGACTTCAAAAAAATGAAAATGTAAGCTATGGACTGTCACAGAGTATTTACAAAACATGTTCCTAAGGGGGCTGGGGGAACTATTAGAATTGAATAGTGAGATAATCAATACAATAAAAATAAAGGAGCAAAACAAAAACAAATAATGAAGGGCTGTGATGTAGTCAGTTTAGGTATACTGCTTGCCAAGCACACACAGACTCCTGAGTTCAGTCAGAGCGTGCAATAAACTGAACAGAGTAATGCATGTCTGTAGTCCTAGCATTCAAGAGGCAGAGGCAGAGGCAGACAGCATAGTCAGAAGTTCAAGGCCATCCTGGGATCCACAACGTGAGTCTCGCCCGTGATGCATAAGACCTTGTTCTCAAAGTAAAAGAAAATAATAAATAGAAATGGGTGGATACTTTGTTAAGGAAAAACAAGTCTATGTATGCAAAGATGAATCATGTTGTTAGTTACCGTGTAATGTGAATTAAAACTGGTAAGCTATCACAAACTAGTTATTAGAGTGGCTGAAACGAAAGCCTATAATATCAAGTGTTAAAGATGTGGGACATCCATAATTGTCACATATCGCTGCTGGGAATACCAAACGGCAGTGACACTTTAGAAAACAGTCTGCGGTTTCTCAAAGTTACACAAAATTAGATATCCACAAACATATTACCTAGAAGTCCCATCGCTGGGTATTGACCCAAATGGAATTGAGAATCTTTGTTGACACAGACATGTAACTGTCATTTTCCACTAATTCAGTGTCTACAAGAAGGAAACCTTCTTGGGGGTGGGGGCAGTGTTGAGACAGGGTTTCTCTGTGTAACAGTCCTGGCTGTCCCGGACCTAACTTTGTAGACAACCTTGCCCTCGAACTCACAGAGATCCAAGAAGGTCATCTTGCTTGTACTTATTTCTACTATTGTTGAAACCCTAATAGTTTCTACAAATAACCTGACTTTTAACATTTTGAACCGGTCTCTGAATTTTTAATCCTTTCTCTTTGCACAATTTCCTCAAATCTTAGAAAACACAGAGCACAGCTCTTCCATCAGCATGGCCAAGGATCAGGAAGAGGATTATACTGCTGGGCAGCCTGGGGAGGAGATTTCAAAGCCCAATTGATGGATATCATTACTCTGTGTGTCCTGCTGCGGGGGCCTTGAGAAGGTTCTGGATATAAGAGTTTGTGTGTAGCTATTATTCCCAGAATTCCTCAGCACTCTAGTGAGGCAGTTAGGAGTCTCCCTAGCTTTGATGACTTCCTTTCAGTTTGCCTCGGCATAACCACTGCCTTCTGATGTCTAAACATTTAGCCACATGAACGAAGCTGCCTTCCAGCTTTTTTCGTGAAAGCTGAATTCTCTGTAGCTATGGATCTTGACCCCTGACATTTAGCCTCAGGGGACGATGGTCAAATCAGCAGTCATTCTTTCTAGTTGAAGAGAGGTCAGTCATCACGATAGGCTGAAAGTCAAGGAAACAAAAGAAATAAGGGCTGTCGTGGGTCCTCTTCACAAGCGAGTGAACTTGAGTCTTGCTTATTGGAATGTGAGAGTCGGGGGTGCTGCGGGAATGTCAGCCATCTCATTCTAAAGCAACTCTGATATTCTTGCTCCTCCCCATATTTGGTCATTAGCTAGACACACAGAGACCGGCTCTGAGGTCGACCCTTATCAGTAGCCCCGCTTGCAGTTAAAATAAATTTCTTCCCATTGTTCCCACTTCCTCGAAGAAAAACACCAGGCCTTCCAAGTGCCCCAGAGAGGAGTTCCAAGTTCTCAGTTTCAAAGCTGTTTGCACCAACCAATGCCCTCTCCCAAAGGAATGCCTTTGAAACTGGTAGACAAAAGGCCCAAGAAAGAGCTGGAGGGCTGGCCAGGCACCATTCCTCCAGTGGTCATTCCCTTCAGCCTTGAAGGCCACCCTCAAAGCCCAGGCATGGTGTTTCCAGTGGCCTTAGGAAATCCCTTAATTGGCACAAGGGGAGGGAGCTAGTCTAATTTCTATTGTACCCAGTATAATAAACTAATTTGGTTGCCGGCCATTCTTTCCTTTCAAGCTTTGAACTGTTAATGGTGACGATTAATATAAACCAGCCAGTGGCATCTTCCACCTCATTCTCACTCTTCTGGAACCAGCTAGTTTGTTAGAGGATGGACCTACTCACCTCCCAGAGACGGCCGCAGGATTCCTCATAGGCAGAAACCCTCCAGAATCCTCCCCACATTAGCGAGGATCAAAGGAAGAATCCCTTTGTCTCCTTCTGAATTCTCCTCAACTCTGGCATAAGTAAAGCCATCTCTCATTCAAATTCTCACCACAGGGTCAGTCAGGGGCTGTCATCAATAGAGTTGAGAGAGCTGAGTAAAATTTAGGGCGTTTTCCAAAGTTAAGAGGCGACATTCCTTCAGAGCAATGACTAAGAAGACTTCTAGTAGAAAAGTTCACCTCAGGAAAAGAAATCACTAACACACACTTGTTCCAACAAAGCCTCTGCCATTCTCTGTCTGGTTATCTCAGAAAACTGTTGTACTAACACCAGGAGATTCTGAACATGTTTGAGGACATTTTCGAAATGTTTTGAAACATTCCAAGGCTGACAGTCCAGTCGCTGTCAGCTGATAAGCTAGGGCTCTCTTGAAGGACAATGTGAGCACCACCCTAGTTTTTTCTTATCTTCCCACCCACCAGAATCTCGTCTCTCTCGCTCCATGACCTTGGCTCATTCTAGTTCTCTCAGATGTGCACAGTTCTCACAGGGCACTGTTTGAAAGCAGGCTATTGTCATAACCATCAGCCCGCTGGCTTCTAGAATAGTTCCCATGGCTCCATCCCTTTGATTCATTATCACACAAGAGGCAACGAGCCTGAGAGACCCAGAATATTCTAGTAAGTTCAGTTTTCTAGTTAGTAGACATTTATCTCACATACCGTCCAAACAATGAACAAAACCATATTGACTACATCCTACCCATTGAAAGTCAGAATTCAGCAAAGCACGTTTAATTTTTAAAGGTAGCCTGGGTAGGCACTGTTTCTATTTTGGTGATTTAGAAAGTCTATTCAGCATTTCTGTTCAGCATTTCTGGTGCATTTGGTTGGTTGTCCATTCTCCCTGTTCTTGGCATGGGGGTAGAAGAATTCAATGCTGGATTATCTTAGAAGTTCACACACACACACACACACACACACACACACACACACAGAGAGAGACAGACACACACACACACACAAAGAGAGAGAGAGAGAGAGAGAGAGAGAGAGAGAGAGAGAGAGAGAGAGAGAGAGGAGATACAACCTGTCATTCATATTGCAGCAGGCCTCTAATAAAAAGATGTGCTTACTAAATAGATTTCATGGCAGGAATTACTCAATTTACAAAGCATTCATCATTAGAATTTCTTTGTATTCATCCAAAGATGAAGATAATTTACATAATTCTAGCTACACCAACAGTTTTATGAACACACTTGTGGTGCATGCAGAGTTCCCCATTGCCTTCCTTCAGTATAAGCGCAGGCAAACACAAACACACACACACACACACACACACACACACACACACACACACACACACTCCTCTATGCTGATACTCCAAGTGTATAGTGACTTCCCTTCCCCAGTAGCAGGTTTATAAACATAAGACAAAAAGACCCTCCTGACCGTCCTACACTCATTCTGCCTTCCAAGTCTGGCATGATGCATGGTTTTTAGCCAGCCTAGTCTGTTCTCACTTTATGGATAATAAACTAATGCCCCTCAGACAGTAGGTGTGTTAGCCCAAGTCAGAGAATTTGCTAGTGGTGGGGCTGGCACCAGAACCCAGGCTGCGATCTTCATGTCTCCGCCTCCGGTCTTCCCACTCCATCTGTCCCAGTGCCCTCCCTTAAGACAAGGGTTTTTCATCTCCAGAGCCCTCCAGAGCCCTCCAGAGAAGGCAACCTTACAGTTTGTCTGGGGAGCGGGCGGGCGGGTGGGGGCAGGGGGGGACCTTTCTAGATTTATTATTGTGCCATCTATCATAACCCTCTTCTGACTTAATCTAATCAGAATCATCCACCATACAGAAGGAAGGTCACATCTGCTGGAGATGAGTCAAAGTGATCCCCACACTATACAACATGCAGATGCTGCTGCCTGAAGTGGCTTAATAACCCACCATTCTAGGTTTATTGTTGTGTTTTCATTAAAAAAAAATATTTTTGCTAGGCTAAATTCTTTCAACTTTATCTCAAAGCCCTGTTCTTTGTTCTTCAATTATATTAACGGAATCCCCCAAACCTAGGTGATGTTCTGAGCATCCCACTTAAAAGGGCGGCCCAGGCTGAGATGTGGGAGGACGACACCCAGATCCTGGACAGCTGTGCAGCGCTGACCTTGGTTGAAAGGTATCCCAGACTTTAAACAATTTTAGTTGCTCTCCCGTGATTAGAGGTGAGTTCCCACAAGATTAAATCACCTCTTCTATGCCTGAGACCCAGAGTGGCCATCTATTTGGATCCAAGAGTAGAAACACACTTTATCTATTGTTACAAGAGATTTTATTTTTAAGTTACTTAATATATGACTTCTTAGAGGCCCGATCTGCCTTCTCTTTGAGGTGGAAATATTTGTCACAATCTTGTTCTGCTGCCCAATAAATCAAAATGTTGAGCCTCTTGTAATAAAAATAGTTGCTTTGAAGTATGACCTTAAATGTCTAATTTCCTACCAGCAATAATGAGTCTCCATACAGCCATTTGAGGGGACTGGTTCTTTTTTCCTGTCCTTTTGTTTTTTTTTTTAAACATGTGAGCTGTCTAATGACAGGATTTTGTATTCCAGATGTTTTGGCGAGAGAAAGCAGTAAGCAACCATATACATCTCAGGCCTTCATACCACCCAAGTAGCTGTTACGTCACTGGGCAGTGTGAGCCTATCCAGACAATCCCTTCCCTCTCCTTGTATTTAATGTTGTAACCCTTTAGTCAGCCACACAGAATAACAGACATTCTTCTCTACGGTTAGTATTCTACAGACACTCCAAGAGAGGGGGAAAGAATAAAAAAACCACACAGAATTTCAATCCCACGTGGTTTTAATAAGAAGAAAAGAAAGAGATGGTTTAATTAAGTAATGAGACTAGAGTCCCTGGTGGTTAATAAGGTAATTTGCCACATGATTAAAGGTGTGTGCAGAAGAATTTCTGGGGTAACATGGGCATCCAAGTGGAACTCTTTGGAAACAGAGTCACTGCAGTACTGGAGCTCTTTAGAAACAGGAGGAGGGAAGAACAGAGGTGCTGGGGGATGGGGGTGGGGATTCCTTCATTCTAATCTCAATACTTTGAAGAGGACAGGGACTGCAGAGCCACGAAGACCAGAAATCAGTAGCTTGGCAGCTGCTTTTCACGGTGAACCTCTGTCCTCTGGGCTGAGAGTACAGAGGCGGCGTGAAGCTGAGGGGGGAGCAGGAGGCAGGGGCTGCTCCCACCACCCTCTGGGGTGGATGAGAGGTGCCAAGTCCTGACGAGTGAGGACAAGCTCAGCTCCTCCATGCTTGTATTTCCCGTCTACCTTCTTGCCTCTGACTCTCCCCCGGGAGCCCCACACCAGTGTGTCCCTGTGGTCTCCTGAAGTCTTCTCCTTTTGTGAAGAATTGTCCTTCTTAACTTGGCTGTATATTCTGGTGACGGGACCGCCAGAAGCTTTGGCTGCTGGGTAACAGGAATGGTTGAACAGCTGATGGTATACTGGGACATGATGGGACATTTTGGTCCAAAGTGTTCTGCCAGGCGTCTGTGGATTGAGACGCTGGACCGGCCTGGGTGGAAGTCATCCTCCTCAGTGCTTTTTAGGGATCTTTGACTTCTCTTGCGAATGGAAATAATGATGTCTTAGCTACTTCACATAGCTACAGGTGTGGTGTTCAAATTGTTCTGTAAACTGGAAGGTGATAGATATGTGCCCGTTAATTATTGTTATTTTCTCTTCTCATGACCCTCCAGATGTCTTCAGGGAATACCTTTTCATGATGCAAAAAGGTTCCTGTCAGCTCCAGTAATCTATAACTCATCATCCATTCAATGAATAAATATCAAGTCTTTTGCACAGAATAAGAAACAAAATTCTTGCTCTTGTGGAGTTTGAGGCTGATAAGAAATGAATTACAAAACAGAATAATAAGCAAGTATAATAAATGTTACAGAGATATTAAGTAGGCCAATGGAATGGATTAAAACTACTTTAGACAGGGTCTCAACAAAGAAAGCCACTCCGAGGTAGGATAAAGAATAAAACCCAACTGTACTCAGAGCAGCAGGCGGCCCATCTGAGGAGGGTGATGCTCTAGGCATGAAGTAACTTGGATGAGGAAGGAACAAAACTTAGCAGTGTACCTACGACATGGTGAATTATCAAAAGTGAGGTCAGAGAAATAGCCAGAAGGTAGATCAGACATATTTGATTTCAAGAGCGAGAGGACCCATGAAGCATCCTATGTAGGCATGGGACAGAATCCGATGTGCTGTTAGATGACTGCATGGACTGCTGTATGGAGAACGAGTTTTAAGGAAGAAGATAGAAACAAGAAGAGGGTGAGAACTAAGTAACCACATAGCAATGAAGGTAATACCGGAAAGGAAGGTATCGATGGATCCAAACAGGAGCAAGAAAACTGAACGCCGGTTTGCGGGTGAAGCTGAAGGCCCTTGTAAAGGGTCCAGGTTTACATCTTAAGCACATTAGCAGGACGAGCCATGGACTTGGATCAAACCAGAAGGAAAAGAAGAATTTCAAAGGAGAGGCAATTTGGCGACTTGGTCCTATGTAGGAAAGCTGTCTTTGTAGACCTCTTAATCAGCCTTATTGTCTTTTGATGCATAGAGAGAGGCAACACTTCTCCGTAGACCTTGTTCTGCCCTCATATGGCTAGGTAAGTGAAAAATCAATCTATTGATTCCCTTGAAAGGGCACATGAAGGCAAGATATGTTCCAGACACAAGATCATCTTCTTTCTGGCTGAACCGCAGACGCCTCAATTCAATCAGTGTAGTTTCTACCTAGTCAGAACTTAACTCAGACATCTTAAAAACCACTTGGGGTTTACCTACATGCCCTAAAGCCAATTGGCTACACAAGGAAAGATAGAGGCATAGTGTTTGTGCCTGTGTGCTTCCTCCCCCTTCCCCCCACCCCTCGATCCATCAATCCCTTGATCCCCCTCTCCCTCTCTCTAGTCTCCCCGTTCTTTTTTAATTCTGAAATGATTTTAGATTTACAGGAAGGCATAGAGCGTTCTCATGTAGCTCTCACCGTGTCTTCCCAAGTCACATCCTGCATAGCTATGAGATGGTATTGAACCCAGGAAACCGACACCGGTGCGGTGTACGCGTTTAGCTCCGCTCCATTTTATTATGTGTTCAGACTCCAGTAGCCATCAAAATCAAATTATGGCCCACACCGAGACCTATTAGTGTCCACATCCTACCACTTGGAGTGAAGTACAGGTACTTCTGTCCACTTGAGTCCCTTTGCTCGCCCAGACTCACCACTACTTTCTGTGAGCCGTCTCCCGGGCTCCCCTCCTCACAGCGAACTCAACTTTAGACATGCCATGCTTTTAGCGATGACTGTCAAACATAATTTAGAAAGCCCGAGTAGAAGGAAAGTTGGCTGTGTGCTCTCCTATTTTTACTCACTCCCTCATCTTTTTTTCTTCCATCCCAGACATTCTAAGATTCTTTCTTTGTCATTTCCTTTCTGTTTCAAGAGCCCCCCTCCCCCATTTGCCATCCTTTTAGGGTGGGGGTGCTGCCAGCAACAAAGACTCTTGCTTTGCCTCCATCTGAGAAGTCTGGACTGGCCCTCCCCAAGGATAACTTCACAGGATACAGACTTCCAAACTGGCGGTCATTTTCTTCCGGCTTCGAAGACACACCGTGCCTTTTGGTTCTGGCCTTCCTGATTTCTGATGAAGAGGTCACTGTTGTTTGAGCACATTTTACATTGTGGGGGAAGCTACTTCTTTCCCTCTCTGCTTTCAAGATGGTTTTTTTTGGGTTTTTCTTTAGTTTTCTGAAGCTCGTTGCCTTGTGTCTGAGTCTGGCTTCTTCGGGCTAGCCTCCCCACTTCTTGAGAATGTAGGCGTCACGGTTTTCCCCCAGTTGGGATCTTTTCAGTGCCATTGTTCTCTCCAGAGGCAGGACTAGGTCTACTCTCATTGTCCGCCCTGGTCAGAGTGATTTTGTTCACTGGTTTTGATTTTTTTGTTTTTGCTTTTTTAAATCTCTGTTGCTCAGATTAAATGAAGTCTATTTTTCTGTCTTGGAATTTAGAGGTTCTTCCCTCTGACCACTCTGTTCTTCTGGTAACCTCATCTACTGTTTCTTTATTTGGTTGTTGTATTTTTCATAGATTTTTACTTGGTCCTCCTCTTACATTTCTAGTTTCTTTCTGGCACTTTTTTTTCCCTTTGAGCACATTCACAGTCAAATTCTGTTGAAGAATTTTTATGATGGCTGCTTTAAACTACTTGTCAAATAATATGGACTTGTGTGACACCATAGGATCCAAGTCTGTGATTGGTTGGAAGATGGGCAGGGTCTACCAAAGATCTGTGGGTTGTTGTCTTACTCCTCAGGGTGGCACCACTGAGAAGTACTGTGGACCTTTTGGCCACTGACTGATGGGCATTTCTGAGGTCATTTGGACGTGGCATAAAGAGGGTCGTGGGGCCTTGACCTGTCCTCTTTCTCTTTTGCTTTCTGGCCAAATGTAACCAGTTTGGTTTTGCACATGCTCTGTCCTTATGTCGCCTAAATGCCTGCCAGAGGCTCAAAGCACTCAAAGCTGGAGCCTCCAAAACCATGAGCCAACATAACCTTTGCTCTTTATCTGTTTCTTCCCTCAAGTGTTTCATTATTGTAATGCAAAGCTGATGACTCCCCCTCGATTTTCTTTTATATGGCTCTTTAATTTTCACACCATCGTCAAATATATTTGACTATCCCTTCTAAGGACAAGCGTGTTTGAAAATTGCCTCTGAAACCGAGTAGTGGGTGGCACACCCCTATAATCCCATCACTCACACTCCGAAGGCAGAAGCAAGCCGATCTCTGAGTTCAAGACCAGTCTGGTCTATAGCACAAGTCTCAGGACAGCTCGGGCTACAGACCCAGACAGTCTTGAGAGGCAGGTGGCCCTGCTGGTGACTAAAATGCCTCCATGCCCCTCTAGTGTGGAGACACACAATGTGTTACCACTCTTGGAAGCTATCTGTCTTTCCTTGGCCTAACTTCTAGGCAGCTCTTTTCTCCTTCTGCCTCTTAGCCCTGAGGGAAAAAAGAGATATGCCTATCTATCCTTTGCTTGCATGAAGGAGAGGGAGTGTTTTTTAAGGAGCGCTAGGTGATTTTTGAAGCCACTGTGGAGGACTTGGCTTATCTTTTCGAAGAGAAGGAAGACTCAGGCCCACAGCAAAGTAGCACTGGTTCCTATTCCTCCCCTCCCTTCCCCCCCTCCCCTCCCCCCGGAACAAAGAGCTTGCTTTTTCTAAGCTGCACAAATGAATAATGCAGTTATATTTGCATATTCTATTACATTAGATTTCTCCAAAAATTTACATATAAAGTACTTATGTCAGTATCTGGAAAGTAATGAGAGTCATTAAAAGTACTGCTAATGCTCCGCTCCACGTGATCTTTTCCTACATGTCTGACTCTGAGCCCAGGTTACAAGAACTGACCTCTTTCTCTCATCCAATTGCAAACCGGTGAGAACTGACATCACAGACGGCCTGGAAGGGGAAAGCAGGTGGTAACAGGGCAGCATGGGGTGTGAAGGGCAAGGACATGGGGGAGGCAGGACAGCCTTGTCTTCCTCGCCCTCTGCCAACAGGCTCTCCTTCTCAGCGCCTGGCAGGCTCCTCCTCCCCAGCTGTCTGTCTGAGTCAGTCAGTGCACAGCTGATGTCCACAACACAAGTGACAGAGACACAGAATGAGGAAAAACCTGCCTGGCAGACCCCCCGGGAGAGCTGGACACCAGGTTGACCACCATCTGTCGAGGCTGAGGACCCAGACAAGGGTAAAGAAGTCAACAAATGGCCTCGTTTGTGTTTAGCCAGGGTCAAGGCTGTTAAGAAGAAAGTCAGAGAGCTGAGCTGTAGGTCTGTCCGTCTCAACAAAATGGTGACATTCTGCATCTGTAAAGTGGAAGGTCTGTCTAAAACTGGGAGAAAGAGATGAGCCCTGCTTCTTCTTTTCTCAGCCAAGTGTAAACGCAGTCGGTCCCAGCACTCTGCAGGCTGAGGCAGGACCCATGAGTTCAGCAGCAGGCTGGGTAACATAGCAAGAATCCCTCTGACAAATAAAGATGTCTTCAAAACGTGTGTGATTGAAATGGTGTGTGTTGGTGGTGATGGTGCTCTTCAGTTATTTTCTGCCTTCTCTCAGTGGCCTCGAGTTCACCAAGGAGGCCGAGCTGTCTGGCCATGGAGCCCCAGAGATTGCCTGGTCTGTACCTCCTTGGTGATTACAGCACCACACTCACCTTTGTTTGTTTGGTTGGTTTGGTTTGTTTCTTCCTTTGTTTTGTTTTGTTTTTTGAGAAAGGGTTTCTCTGTGGAACAGCTCTGGTTGTCCTGGAACTCCCTTTGTAGACCAGGCTGGCCCCTGAACTCACAGAGATCCGCCTATCTCTGCCTCCCCATGCTGGAATTAAAGTTGTGCCCCAGCTGGGTCACACTCAACTTTTTTAATATGGGTTTGATGAATCCACTTGCCTCCATCTTGGGCTTCAAAGCCATCTTAGAGCAAAGCCAAGCTAGATTTGTTCCTGTTTATGATTAAACCTCTGTTTCTCAAGGATTGGACTATGTCCTATCTGTAACCTTAACTACAAATAGTTCTACATGGCTTGTTACAGGAAACGGCAACCATGCCTTTGTTTTGGGTTGTTATGACAACCTTGTTATGCTTACACTCTGCTTCTGTAACCCCACTTGCTTGCCTGTCAAAATTCCCTTTGGGAACCCCCTACTCCAGAGCTACAAAAACCTTATTTATTTTCTAAATATCCATGGCCATTCTCTGAAATCCTCATTGGAGAGACAGTGACCAGACAGGCTGTGTTCTGCTGTGCACAATTAAAAAAAAAATCTTGTTTCAATTTGGCTGTTTGGGTTGGTGGTCTTTTACACTTGCCTGGTAGGCTTAATAGGTTCTAAGGACCAGAATAAACTCTTCAAGATTTCAAGATAAATACTTTACCAACTGAGCCTTCTCCCTAGCCCTTAGATTTAAAAAAAAATGAGAATTTATTAAAGTGGAATCATTAGGAACTTTGATCCCACGGGGCTCTTGCTTTATTCCCAGGCACTGTGTTGCTCACTGAGGGGCTCATCTCTAAGGCTCCATCTCAGCCAGCACCCACCAGGCTTCCAAACACACTGTGCTCCTATTAAAAAACAAAAAAGAAAAGAAAAGAAAAAGCAAGGGTCACATGAGCTCTTTTATTAACCCTCTAATTGCCCTGAATTACAGCCTTCCCAAATGCTCCTGAACTCAGCAGCTCTCTGGCATCATTCACTGTGCTTGCAGGACCAAGGCAGATTTCTCTAGGACTGTATCATTGTGGGCGGGAAGAAGATACTTTTCCATATGTATTGAGTTCATGTTATCCATTTTTCTGTTTGCTAATTAGATCACATATTCTTTTATAAACCCGTTCAGCATTTCAGAAGCACATCCTTGTTTGCTTTGTGATTTAGAATTACTCCTGCCTGTCACTCACACAGAAAGGTCACGAATGGGCCTGAAGAATGCCACTGTTGTACCAGGTGATTGAGGATGCCCTAGAAAAACATCCTGGCCCAACCCTGCAGGCATTAATAGGAGTTTCTCCTCCTGCCTGGTAGCCAAGAGGTGCATTTTAGTGGGGGGACGAACCTTGGGTTCACATAGTCCTTTCATTTACGGGAAGGAAAGGCCCTCATTGTCTGACTTGCCGCAGGATTCCGGCTGAATCAAGCACTGTCTCCTGGATTCCCCCACCATCACCCCCCGGGGTAGGCCACAGAGTTCTGGAAAGAAACTAAGACCCACAACGCCAAGCTTGGAACTGCAGTTTTATAGCTTCTTATTCACCAGGTTTCCTTATTGTTGTTTTCCTTGGGACAGAGGCACCGTGTTCCCATAGGAGAAAGAAAGATCAACCATGTTGATCAAGATTGACAGAAGGTACTCGGCTAGAAGTCCAGGGTACATCTGAACACAGGTCTTCATCCACAATTCTGGTTTCTTTTGTTTCTCTTCTATTTACACTGATTACAAAAGAATGGCCTATTTCTAGAGTATGGAACAGCTGTGAGGAGAAAGGGAGAAACCCACTGTCACCGGGAAGGAGGCCCTCTGAAAGTGGCTGCTTTGCACTACTTATATTTTCCAGTGCCCATTAAAGTACAATAATGTGTGAAGATAAAACTGAATTCATACAGAAAGGAGCTGAGGTGCGTCGTCATTCCAATCTTTCTTCTTAGTAAATTTAATAAAAAAATAAAAAAAAAAACCAGTCACTTCAGAGGTTGACACTCTAATATAAGGCTGTTGTCCCTCTATTGGGGTTCTGTGACCAGTTCTCATGATAAGTATTCTAGCAGCTAGGAGATGCAAGCAACATCATCAACACAAATATTGTCTGTGTCTCTGATTTTCTTTCTGTGGGACAGATTCCTGGAATTCCAACTAGCTAGATGAAACACTCTCAAAGCATTGGCTCATAATAAGAATCATCCCCATTCTTCTTTCATGGAGGCATACTGCCTAACCCCAGGCCCTTGTGGCATATTTTGATGGACCGGGAATGGAAAGATGCTTCCTGTTCACCCACAAGTTCCCAAGCAAGCTCTTTCATGAAGACTGAAATCCTCTCCACTCTGCTTAGCTTCTGATCACAGGTGAGAAAGTGCAGAAGTCTCCGTTGCCTGCCTTAGGAAATAGACCACTATCAGGAGGTGCAAAACCCCTAACTCCGGGATTGTCCTCGACTTAGAAACCCCTCACTGAGCCAGCCCAAGTGATAGGAAGTTTGGGTTCTGGTATGCAAAGCAGTTGTAGATACAGAAAGGTCAGAGGCTGTGAGAGAGGAAGAGTCTGAAGCAGGGGTCTAATGCTCAAGACTCAGCCCCCTTCATCCTATAATGGAATGAGGCGCCAAAGGTATCCTCCTGTGGAAGGAAGACAAGAGTAGTCGACAGGGCCCAACATCCACTCAACCGGCCTCATAATTCTGCCTTTTAAAGCCAGGTGATCGTTAAAGAATCTACAGCTTTCTGACTCACAAAGCCTGACTTGACTTCCTCTAACTATTACAAATCCAGTTCACTGGAGGTTACCCGTGCCAACCAGCTAGTTTGGGAATTTCCCAGAGTCTTGGAGAATTGTCCTATGCAGAACTACCACTTTCCATGTTACTTGGTGTGAAGCCCCGGGGTGTGGGTGAGCCAGCCCTGTCCAGTCATCATAAACACGTGGGCTTCATCAAAAGCAGTTGCGCAAAGGCCCATGCACGAGAAGAAGATGAGTAAAATCCAGGGAATCAAAGTGGTAATGGGGGCCTCGCGTTTTACAGTCTGTTCATTACCGGAAACACAACAGGGCCTATGAGGGAGCCCCCCCTCAGAGCTGGCCTGTGGGTCCCTCCATCCATTATCTTGGCACCTCATTTCCAGTTCCAGTGGCTGCCACCTGTCCTGTTTTGGCCTGTGGTGGATGGCATTTTCTGGTTTAAAAGACAGGAAGAAAAAGACTCAGGTTAAGCTTTCTGCTTGGCTTGGCTGGTACCTACTCCTATCCGCAACAGGACCACTACCTGCCAGGGTTGATTTTGTTTGTTTGCTTGTTTGTTTGTTTTAGCTTTTGAGTTTTTTTTGTGGGGGGGGTAATGTTATTTTGTTGTTGTTGTTGTTTTTAATTTTCAAAAAAGTTCTTAGCAGGCCTGGTACTGACCTGTACACTTGTGATACTCATTCCTTCCAGGCAAGCCATATTCACACACAAGCACTTACCACATCGCTCCTTCTCCATTCAGCTCCGGATGCTGACAGTTTACCAAGGCTCTTCTCGCTGGGTACCCTCGCCTACACAGCTAATCCTCATACTACCATCCCACCTCTGTGAGGTATCCTTTCATTAAAGTCACCAGGTTAGACCCATCTGAATTCAACGGCTACCTCTCGAGCCCCTGACTGACAGAAGCTTTCAGCCCCAAGCCCCTCACCTGTAAAACAGGGATGACTAATGGCGAAGCTTCGGAGTAATACACCATGGAATGCTCATGAAGACGGAAGCAGTTCAGACAAGAGTTCGGCATCCTGCTTAGAGGTGCAAAGTAAACTGCGTGATCTGTTGCTGCTACTTACAATAACGAACAGCAACAAAGGGGTTAAAAATCCAGGTCTGTTTGTTTATCAAAATGCATGTATTTCCCACCAGCCTGAACTTTCTTCTTTCGGTGAGGGGATGGAAAGATCAGACATCTCCTAGCCCGCCTTGGAAATATCATATTTAGACTGTCACGGGAATTAAATCATTCCTCAACAGATTTGTCAGTGAAGTGGGAGCTCGCCAGGAGAACAAAGTGTGCTGCTGCCTTTCAGCTTCGCCACGCCAGACACGATTCTGTGTCTCTCACCCACCAGGGACTTTCGAGAACATCATCTGGTAAGGCAGCCAATGAGGATTAACTATAAATCATTGTAATTGCTGTTGGAATGACAGGTGTCTGTCACAAGTCCATTATCAGAAACCAAATGTTCATTAGGCAACCACTGCGACCCTCACAGCTCTCTGGAGCCTTGTGACCACTGCTTGCGTGGCCAGCATCTGCCGGAGCTCACAGAGGCGGCGCTTGTGGACAAGGAGTCCTCCAAACAGCCGGAAAATGTGTTTCCCAGACAGCAAGTCTCCACAGTCATGGCGACACAAATAATGCATTGTGCATGTATCAGAGGATGAGCTGAGGGAGGAGGTGGAGAAAGCTGGGGGAAATGAAGAGGATTTGGGTGACTCCAGAAATGAATGCTGTTTCGGAGTGCATCCGGCCCCGAAATCCTCCCCACCCACCTTCCTAGACATATTTCCTACAATTATCTCCACCCCTCCCTGTGCTTCAGAACACAGTGAATTAAAGAGGCAGTTGATTCTTATTAACTTGGGAGGAAGGGTTCTATCATCGAAATAATTAAACAGGAATCAGGAAATGGTCAAGCACAGGAACCTGGCATTAGGTACAGGGCGGCAAGATTTAAGGAGAAACGTAATGAGCTTTGACACAGACAAACCTGCTTCAAATCCTGG